ATTACAAATTTACAGGTGACTTCAAATCGAGTAATATAGCTTGGACTAGACCTATTTCCCAAATTCCCAATACTTCTAAACCCTAATTTAAGAAGCAGGAAAATCATAGTTGAAAATTTGAGGGAGTTATGTACGTCATTTTGTTCGTAGTGTTCGTCATCTAATGTTATATATGTTGTTGTGGCTTTAGGACGTATGTAAGGACTTAAAAATGTGTTCGAATCCTGGGAAAAAGTTCTATGGCTGCAAATATTAGAATACGAGATGCAATTTTTTTTCATGGTACGGAACATATAAAATAGGGGCTATAGAAGATGAAGGCAAAATCACAAACCACACATTTCAATATGAAATTGTGTCGCTGAAGAAAGAAATAGCAAGGTTAGAATTGCTTGAATAAGAAAAAAAATAAGATCTTGAAGCATAAATTTGAAGTTGAATCATTATTATTATGTCGTGACTAAATATGCCTGCAGAGCTTGACATAATAAACTTTTGAGCTCCTGTCGGGGATGTCATCAACTTGGTGCATCAGTGTAGATTGATCGAGTATAATTTATTGCACACCATGTTTAATAATGATTCTCATCTCACCGAGTTATTGACCTAACAGAATAAGTCTCACGATGAACCAATGAACGATTATTAATCACACGTGTCCATCATAATCAAACGACTTAAGAGTACAAGTTTTATCACGAGGTCTAGTTTATTTACTGTGTAAGTATAAAATAAACTTCTCCTTCATAGTCCGTTCAATACATACAAAGTGTACAAGTATAATTCATTAGTTATGATAAACGTTATATTATAACCATACTGATATGTTTATCCATTTCTATCGGTTATGAACCTTATTTATATTACACACGAACCGATACTACAATCTTTTGTGCGATGACGCAACACTGTATTATCTTCAATGTAAATAACATGACAAAGACAAATCCATATACACAGAAATTAAGTTTTACAACATTGGCTAAACATTATTTTTTTTATTCAAAACATAAATAACGTTCAAACGAAGTAATGCTTTTAACATACAAACCATCAGTAAAACATACCAATTCAGTTTGTGGGTTTTTCTTTGTAACTCGACACAAATTTCGCAACACAACTTTGGTCAGTGGAGTTACGCTGGCTAATTATGGGGTTGCTTGGATACATATTTGTATCCAAATATCCAATCACTTTTAACCAATAACTTTTTTAACTAAAAAATTTAACTCGAAATTAACGCACGTCCATTCTCATTAATATTATCAAAACTATTAAAATAATATCAATAAATTATAACGACCAATCATCAAATCACGTCAACTTTAATTAATTATTCATTCATTCACATAATTTTAACTAGTCATCACTTCCAATCACATCTCACCTATTTTTTTCAATCACATTTCTCATATTTTTACATTTAATCAACTTTAATTATTTTATTTTAAATATATTTTAAATACAAAATTAATATCTCACTCAACTTAATATAATTATTTTTTTCTAAATTAACTGTCTACCAAAAAAATCCACTCAAAATTCAATCCAATTTATATCCAAGCACCCACTATGGGTTCCAACTTTTTCACTGATCACTTGTGTACTCTGGTATGGGACATGCCATTTATTAGGTAGTTCAGCAAACCATCATTATTCATTGTTTCAAGAAAATATCAATTTTATAATCAAAGCAGCTACATTTGCACAGTAGCACTACCGTGTGCCCTGGAGGGCAGTTTTGCACGCGCTTCCAACACCCCAAAAATAAGAAAATTTGGAGAGTGCAGTACACATTCCTATTTTTTCTTTTTTAATTGAAAAATGAGACATATTACACAAATTAAAATATCATTAATTATTTATATTAAAAAAATAAAATAAAAATACCAAAACTCATAATTTTTCATTATCTATAAATAGAGACCACATTTGATAGGTTTTTTAACACAACTAATTTTTAGTTTTTTCGTAATTATTTTATTATACTGACATATAATGAACATGTTACATAATAAAATGAATATGTTTTCAAATATGATGAACATGTTACAGATTGTAGATTTTTTTTTTTCCCAAAACGATAGAGGAATTATATAGAAACTCAAAGAGGACACAGTCCTAATACATTGTCAAGATACAATATAAACCGCAACCGAAAAATGAGAGACACACCGCAGCGATGGTCTAGAGCCTCTAAAAGAGGAAAGAACTCCCAAAAGCAACCAAGAGAAGGAGAAGAAAAAAAACAAGAAAGATACAAGTGCCCTCTACTGCCAAAGCCTAGAAGGGTACATGATCAAAGACTAAAAACAAATGCAGAAAAACAAAATGACAAATTATGATTAATCCTACAGACCAAAGGCAGACTGATAATGCATCCAATCGGTTTGTGCCATTTTAATCACAGAAGCTGCTGGCATTAATGAATTTTGGAATATCCATAAGTTCCTTGACTTCCAAAGCCACCAAAGTATATATGTGGAGAGTTGTATTCGTGCTTCGGCAACTTCAGACTTGTCTAAGGAACTAATGTGGCACCACCAGGTTTTGAAAGAATCTCTGAAGTCAGAGATGCCATCCCAAGTCACAGGAGATAATTTCCAGACTCTTACAGCTCTTGAGCAGTTAAGCAGGACATGCTCAATGGTTTCAGATGCTTCTCCACAAAGAGAACAGATATGATCTACAGGGACCTTTCTTTTCTTCAGCAAAGTGGCCACAGGTAATGTGC